TTTCACTTCTACCTTGAGGTCTCTGAGTGTCTGGTCTCCCTTCACTTCTATCTTGAGGTCTCTGAGTGTCTGGTCTCCCTTAACTTCTACCTTGAGGTCTCTTGAGTGTCTGGTCTCATTTCACTTCTACCTTGAGGTCTGTGAGTGTCTGGTCTCATTTCACTTCTACCTTGAGGTCTCTGAGTGTCTGGTCTCATTTCACTTCTACCTTGAGGTCTCTGAGTGTCTGGTCTCCTTTCACTTCTACCTTGAGGTCTCTGAGTGTCTGGTCTCCCTTCACTTCTACCTTGAGGTCTCTGAGTGCCTGATCTCGCTTTACGGTTTGCTCTGTCCAGGGCCAGAACACAGATGCAGATGAGCTTGTTTTAATAGTGTGTTTTATTTGTGGTGCTGCTTTGTTTTATGCAGTGATTGTTTTTCAATTGTAGCTCCAGAACACTTTTGGTTCAGAAGAGCGATTGAGTAGTATCTGTGAAATCAGAATTCACCCAAAGGAAGACATCATCATATGTGTGTTGTTTGCACCTACTCGATTATCTTGTATGTTGGCTAAACTGGAAATCAAACAACTTGGAAACCAGTCACAGCCAGGCATTAAGTTCACAGTAAGATAATTTCATTGCCTCTCCCCACCATCCTCAGAGTTTATGACATGTTGTAACTAGTGGTTTAATGTTGATAAATTTTATATGCTCTGCTTTTAATAAGTGAAAATATGTGATTGTCTAGTTCCAAACAAGTTAAGGAATAATTAATTTGGAGAAATGTCAGGTTGTAAAAGCCAGCTTCTGTTCAAATGCTTTTTAGTTCTATTTTAGTTTGAGAATTTTGAAATGTACCTACCTTTTCAGGACCACATCTTTGGGTAAGTCCAGATGGAGCTAATTTAAGATATTGATTTTTCAAATAAATTTTATTCTTTCAGTTCTGCAAAAATATCATCTTAGTTCAGTGTGGTATGACCAAGTACCATCGGCCAGGTGTTTCATAACAAGCACAAATTTATTATTCATAATTCTGGGAGTCGGGATGGCAAGGTCAAGGCCCTAGCAGACAAGTGTCTAAGGGCTGCTCTCCATGCTCACACGGGGGAAGGGACAAGACCATTGACATCAGCCTCTGCTGTGAGGCACAAGTCTCATTCCTGGGGCAGAGTCCTCCTGACTCAGTCACTTCTCCAGAGGCTCCATCTATCAGGGCTGACAATTGTGGTCAGGTTTCCACATGGGGATCCTGGCAGGGTACCAGAATTAAGACTATACCATATATGTGTATCTATTGATAAGAGTTTGTTACACTCAAGGATTGGAAGCCACTTATGTATATGAATTATACATCTAGAACAATTAGAGATGGAAATGGTAAACTCCAAGAAGGGAAGAGATCAGAGCAAGGTGATCTAAGAAAATGTGAGCTGGGCGGTGCCTATGCTCAAAAGAGTAGGGTGCTGGCCCCGTATGCTGGAGGTGGTGGGTTCCAATCCAGCCCTGGCCAAAAAAAAAAAAAAAGAAAGAGAACATGAGCTACATGAAAGTGCACAACGGTTTGGCAGCAGGGCTCGGACTAAAATTTTGGTTCTATTTACTAGTGTCAAGGAGGGAATGGGGTAAATGAACAATATCTAAAAGCTAAAAAGTGAGATATGTGTGGCCACTGAAGCTTCATCCGATGCTGGAGCTTGACATTTTCTGTGGAGTCATGTAATTGGCCCCATGTGCTGTGATGGACAAAATTGTTTAAAGATGTAAGTGGCCCTTTTAACAGTTGCCTCCTTACACGTGAGCCCAGGACACAGTGCGAGAGGAGTGATACACATGGGCATCCAGCTCTCTGATGATCTGGATTCATGTGGATAGGATAAAGCTTGGCTTGTGGAGAGAACTAAATGGGCTGCGTGTTTCAGACTTCCTGAATGTATTCTGATTAGTTTCAGGTTTGCAAAGGAAGAATCTCTAGAGAACTAACTGGTGATTTAAGACTATTTGATTTGACAGTCAGCCAAGCAGAATTTCAGGTTGCCATCTTAAGGCAAACCAGGATCTGAGAGGGGGTCCTTCCTGCACAGACAGCCAGCCCATCCTCTCACAGAGGTGGGCAGAGTGGGGTTGGCCCATGAGTCATAGATCAGTGTGGCTTTTATTTCACTAGAAGACTTAAGACTGTTCACATTGCCTTTCTGTGAAGATAAAGCAACCTGGAGCTGGTGGAGTGGTAGGTGAGCAGGTAACACTGAGGCAAGAGAGTCCAGGGAAGGAGCCCTTTCTCTGGAGCACTCATCTGGATAAGTCCCTCCCACTCGCGTCTGTAAAGTGGGCTAGTTACCAACCCATCTTCCATATTTGGTTGGGAGGGACAAATGAAGTGATCTGTACTCTGCATACTGTAGGCATGGTGAGACTACAATAGTAAGTATATTTTTATTTGGTGCATGTTGAGTCTGTGCCAGGCACTGTCTTTAAGAATTAGTGTGTGGGTGAATGTGTCCCCCAAAACTCAAGTGTTAGAAACTTTCTCCCCAGTACCATAGCATTGAGAGGCAGGGCATTTGGGGAAGTATTTAGGCCTGAGGGCTCTGCCCTCATTAGTGGGTAAGTTCCCTTTTTTTGTTGCTCTCGGTAGAGTGCTATGGCATCCTAGCTCACAGCAACCTCAAACTCTTGGGCTCAAGTGTCCTGTTGCCTCAGCTTCCCAAGGCAAGGACTTGGACTGGGACTATAGGCATCCACCATAATACCTGGCTATTTTTAGAGACTGGGTCTCGCTCTGGCTCAGGATGGTCTCAAACCTGTGAGCTCAGGCAGTCCACCTGAGTCGGCCTGTCAGAGCGCTAGGATTACAGGAATGAGCCACCACACCTGGCTGGGTTAGTGCCTTTACAACAGGGCTTATCAGAGGGAAATTTGAAATCCCCCAGATGAGAAACTCTGAGTGCCAGCATGACACTGAAAGGAAGGCTCCTTGGAGCATTTTGGAATTCAGATTTTGGGATTAGGGATGCTCAACTGGTATGATGCAAATATTCCAAATTTTGAAATGCTCTGGTCCCAACCATTTCAAATAAGGGATATTCAACCTATAATTAGGAATGAAAGGTAATTTTTAAAGATGAACATTTTAACAAGTATGGGAATTTTCTTTTCTGGCAGGGCATTCTCCTTACATTGTTATTTATGGGATATAATCTATGCACCTTTGTTTCCGTTGAGCCTTGGGGAGCAGGACCAGATGGTATTCCCAGGCCTGGGTCGGTGCCATTGTGTTTGTCCTTGAAGAGTTGTTGGAATTTTTGTCATCAGTTTAGTCCCTTTTACCTGCTTCTGTCTGACACTGGCTACACCAAACACGATAAGAAAATTATATTATAATAGATTTTTTTTCCTCATAACAATTTGTTCTGAAAATTTTCAGAATTACTGAGAAGTTGAAAGTTCATACAGTAAACACCCACATACCTATGACTTAGATTCTACAGTTAACATTTTGCCATATTTCTTTTCCTACATGTCTGACTATCCATCAGTTCATCTGTTAATGCATTTCAAAAAATAATTGCAAACACCAGTATATTTTACCCTAAAAAACTTTCTAAGCAAGCATCTCTAGACTAATTTGTTGGGTTTTTTTGGTTTTTTGTTTATTTGTTTTTTGGAGACAGAGTCTCACTATGTCACCCTCAGTAGAGTCCCATGGCGTCACAGCTCACAGCAACCTCCAACTCTTGAGCTTAAGCGATTCTCTTGTCTGCCAAGTAGCTGGGACTACAGGCACCTGCCACGACAACTGACTGTTTTTTGGTTTTAATTGTCATTGTTGTTTGGCAGGCCCGGGCTGGGTTCGATCCCGCCGGCTACCATGTATGTGGCTGGCGCCCCTAGCCTTGAGATACGGGCACTGAGCCTAGACTCATCTTTTTATTATTGTTTCTTTATCATCTAAGCTTGGCTTTTATAACTGTAAGTATCCATAGCACTATCAGAGGGCAGATAGTTGTTCAGCTCTTTGCTGTGTTTTTCCTTTAGGACTAAAGTTCTTAATATAACATAATGCTGGGCCGGATGCAGGGTGGCTGCTAGCTGAGATATACAAATAGTACCATTTTTATTTGTATTAAATCTTTCTGTATTTTCTCCTGACTATAATTCAGTCTTCTGCTTTCTAGTTACATAAAAATAATTTTGGATGTGTATTTTCTTTCAGATACCTTTGTCTGGATATGGAGGAACAAGTAATCTTATTTTGGAAGGTGTTAAAAAACTGTCTGACAGTTACATGGTAACAGTGGATGATTTAATACCTGGCAAAGAAAATAGAATTGTTTTTTCTGTCCGCAACACTGGCTCCCGAGCAGCTTTCGTTAAAGCAGTAGTTTTTAAGAATCCTCAGAAAAAGGTTTTGCTGGATCCTGAAGTACTGAGGATTTTCCCTGATAAATTTGTACTCAAGGAAAGAACACAAGAAGTATGTATAAAAGACTCTGCACTAAAAATCTGCACTCATTTTTGATTAAATTAATAATTATATGTTTTATGGCCAAAAGCGAAAATGATATTTGAAAGTCACATAGAAGTGGAAGTGCATCTGTGGTCTCATTGGAAACACCTGACAGATGGCCTGGTGTCTAGCTTAAGAATTTACATACAGTAAAATGACTTAGTCAAGAAAATATTTAATATTTACTCCTGATTTTTTTCCTTGGCATCAGGATGTTACTTTAATATATAACCCATCAGACAGAGAGAGCAATTACAGAGGCACAACACAACTGTCAACTGTGTACTTCTTTGGTGGAGATGAAATCTCAAGACAGCAGTATCGAAGGTAGATTACTTATACAATGCTGGGAACTCTTTACTGGAAATAATGAGGGCTTAGGTGGTTTGGGGTTTGGAATGTTGAGAACATGTTTTACTATTAGTGAACTGATAAATGAAAACCGTGGTAAAATTTGTGTGGCTGATAAGCTACCATAATGTGTGGAAGAAGTAGCCACAGGAAACTCAACCCCTGTGTTTTCTTATATATGCCTTCTTCTGTAGACATGTATTGTGCCTGTTTTTCAATAAGAGTGTCATACTGTGTAACAGGACCATTTTTTTTGTTTTTTTTAAGAGACAGTCTCACTTTGTTGCCATCGGTAGAGTGCCGTGGTGTCACAGTTCATAGCAACCTCCAGCTCTTGGGCTTAAGCGATTCTTTAGCTTCAGCCTCCCGAGTAGCTGGGACTACAGGCACCTGCCACAACACCTGGCTAAGGACCACGTTCTTAATACAATACATCTAGAAAATATGTAAGAACTACTGAAAGATTATATGGTATCAACACATCCGCATAATTTGGAATACTTCTGAGCAGGCAGTGAATTATTTGAAAGGATTGAGTAGTAGTTTAGAAATGTATATGAGGCCGGCGCCTGTGGCTGAGTGAGTAGGGCGCCGGACCCATATACTAAGGGTGGCTGGTTTGAACCTGGCCCCTGCCAAAACTGCAACAAAAAAATATCCGGGCATTGTGATGGGCACCTATAGTCCCAGCTACTCGGGAGGCTGAGGCAAGAGAATCACCTAAGCCCAAGAGCTGGAGGTTGCTGTGAGCTGTGACACCACAGCTCTCTACCGAGGGCAACAAAGTGAAACTCTATCTCTAAAAAAGAAAGAAAGAAAGAAATGTGTACGATGTTTATTTGTACCTATTTAAAGCATGATATATCTAGTTCAAATATAATTTACACTAAACTGTTAGCAAATTCAGGGTATTGATTTAGGTTTAGGTGTGATTTAAACATAAATTACAATTTTGTGTGTTGAATTCTAGATTCTTTTATTATAGTTTGGTTTCCTAGATCAGAATACCTAAATGTAAGTGAAGCTCACCATGTTTCATGTTAGTGGGAAATCATTAGAAAGGGTTATAGATGAACTCAGCAATCCATCTGCATCCAACCCTTCCTGCTGTGCTGTGGTTTTAGTCTGATACAGAAATTGGAAAATTGTTTTGTTCTTAATTTATTGAGGACTGTTGGAAAGTTTAAAAAGAGGAAGTTTAATAGTACTTGTTACATGGCATAAGAACAGACCAAATGTGAAATGTGTCCAAAGCTCAACTTTGAACCTGTTTTTTTTCTTAAATATTTTAGAGATAGAAACTTCTTCTTTGGTTATAGAAATCAATGTATTATTTCAAAAATCCTCTTTGCTGTGAAATTACAGTTATTAGATTTGTCTTTGTGAACATCTGGGTTTTATGGAGAAATTTACATCACATTTTCTCACTCTAAAAATTCTCTCGAAGAGAACAGACTAGGTTTGTAGTCATGTGGTAATTTAGACATTTCACTCTGAGGTACATCAGTTTTTAGCATGTTCTTTTTTATTCAGAGACAAATTTCTAACTGTGACCAAATTATCACAAATACTGAAAATGTCAGACCTGAAAAATATCTAATTTTACTCTTTCTTCTACTTTTGTATTAGGAACTTATTTTTTTGATGTCAAATGTTTAACTGAAACTGTTGATTTTACTATCATGTGCAATTTTTAAGGGAAATTCCAAAAGTTTTTTTTTAGATATGAGATTTATGTATTGTGGAATTTGCCAAGTGATTAATGAAAATCTTACTAAATCTTATTAATAAAAATCTGTCTTGCTAGAGCCTTGTCTCATGAACCAGAAATTATAAAACAGATACTTCCAGAGCATAGTGTGCTGCAAAACATTGATTTTGTTGAATCATTTCAAGATGAGCTACTAGTAACTGAAGGTAAGAATTTTAACATCTTACATCTTTTGAATCATTTATGGTATTATCTAGGTCCAGTCATATCAGAAGGAAAAGCGTTCATTTGGATATGATGTCAGTCTGTGTTTGAGCCATAGCTCTGCTATATGAATTCAAACAAATTATACCACTGAAATTCAGTTGCCTTATCTGTAAAATGGGAAGAGGAATGATACCACTTTTCTCATCCATACAGAGTTTTTATGAGGATCAAATGAATAGGCTTTGCTAGATAAATGTTAGATGTTATTAATATTTTACTGCTCTTAGTCTCTGGATAGGGTTGTAAACAGGAGGACAGTGGTCATTATAAACTCCTGTTAGGCCAGGCACAAAGGCTCCTGTCAGTAATCCTAGCACTTTGGAAGGCTCAGGCTGGAGAATGACTTGAGGCCAGGAGTTTGAGACTAGCTTGGGCAAGAGTAAGACCTCATCTCTGGAAAAAATTAAAAAATTAGATAGGCATGGTGGTGTTGGCCTATAGACCTGACCAGCCACTCAGGAGGCTGTGGCAGGAGCACCGCTTGAGCCCAGGAATTGGAGGCTGCAGTGAGCTGCTAGCCCGGGAGACAGAGTGAGACCTTGTCTCCAAAACAGATCTCAGATTAATGCTATTTAAGATTTGATTATAAACTGGCACTCATGCTGAAGTTTCTATGCTATCATAAGATTTATGGGAGATGTGATGGAGGGAAAAAAAATCCAAAATAGATAGTAATGAAGTGACCATGACCTAGGTGATTGTCCCTATTTGAGTTCAAATATTTAATAGTGCTTATTTCTTATAAAAAGTATATGTATGGAGACCTACAAATTATGTAAAAATATGTGTACAGATTTTCACTGAGGGCAACATAGTGAGACTCAGTCTCAAAAAAAAGTACAAAAACGAGATGTTGGCTCGGTGCCTGTGGCTCAAGAGGCTAAGACACCAGCCACATACACCTAAGGTGGTGGGTTCGAATCCAGCCCGGCCAACCAAACAACGACAGCTGCAACCAAAAAATTGCCAGGCGTTGTGGTGGGCGCCTGTGGTCCCAGGTACTTGGGAGGCAGAAGCAGGAGACTCACTTGAGCCCAGGAGTTGGAGGTTGCTATGAGCTGTGATGCCACGGCACTTTACCCAGGGGGACAGCTTGAGGCTCTGTCTCAAAAAAAACCAAAAAACAAGATATTAGATAATAACTTTAACACCCAAGAATAGGAGGCAGTAGAAAATTTTAAAACCTTTATAACAGTGAAATTTATCTCCACTAAATGACGTGGAAAGCTACTAATTTATTACAAAATATCTTAAAAATATTTTAAAAGTTTGTATAGTAAGATCTCATTTTGGTAAAAATAATTTACATGTATGTATAATGAGTAAAATCACCAGAGTATACACAGCAAAGTATTTAGTGGCTGTGTCTTTGTGGCAGAACTTCAGGTGATAGTTGGTTCCTTCTATTTTTATTTACTGGTTTTTAATTGATGGAATATATTTTGCTTCTAAAATACGAAATGATAAAGGAAAAGATACTTATGCCTTAGTAGGGGTGTGGACTAGTCTGTGACCTTTCCAGTAAAGTAGCATCTACGTTATCTCAAAGCGGAAGCAGAGAGGAGACAGTTGAAAATGGTGAGCAGCTTGGAAAGGGCGTGTCAGAAGGGCACCACGGGAGTGGGGTGAGGAGAGAGACCCATCTCTGCCACTGCAGCCCCACATCTCGTCCTCAGATCAAGGACCCAATAAAAGGTGGAGCTTTACTATAGAAATGGAACAGTAACACTTAGTAGCTCATTGCAAGGGTGGTGAAAACTGCGTGTAAAAATAAGTAGCAAGAATTTGCAGTGGTTTGGAAGTTTGCATGGCTCCCTGATTGACCAACCGGCCATCCGTTGAATGGATACACACACAGTGAGACCACACAAGGTGCCCTGCACCACACTGGGATTTGTGAGCACAGGAAGCTGCCTTGTCCAGGAAGGGCTTACTGACTAAGCAGAAGGCAGAAGATTAAGGAGCGTATGGAGAGTGCCATGACAGACCATGTGTAGGAATCTGGAAGGGCACCTCATGTAGAAAGAGATGACTGTGGAGCCAGACATAAAGAAAGGGGAGGAATTGACAAGGTGGAGAAGGTGGGACCCCAGTGAGGAAAAACATTCCAAGTGGAGGGAATTATAAGTCCAAAAATTCAAGTAATGTGTTTTGTTAAAGTTTATGTTGACAAACCTAACCAAGAGCTGTGTAACCTTCCAAGATTGCCCATAAGAGGGGGTTCAGTTGAGACTGAATTTCATCTCTAGAATACCATATTCTTTAAGATGGTGTATTTATTGTCCAGATGAATGGAAAAAACAATCCCTCTTTTTTCTAATGTTGGTCAGTACCATAAATCATGTATGAGATTGTCACTGTTGAATTTTGTATGTGATTATTTTGAATAGCATTTGCTTGAACATACTACTACATATATTTGTAATACTCTTTTATGAAACTTGTTATTTGTGCAATATTTTCACTGTTGATTAAAACTTTCATTGTCATATGTCTTGATTAAGTTAATATAAATTTAAATTTAGTCATTTTGTTCTTTTAAAATTTCCATTAAAGGCTCAGCGCCTGTAGTACAGTGGTTACAGCACCAGCCATATACACCAAGGCTGGCAAGTTCAAACCCAGCCTGGGCCAGCTAAACAACAATAACATCTACAACAAAAAATAGCCAGGCGTTGTGGCAGGAGCCTGTAGTCCTAGCTACTTGGGAGGCTGACACAGGAGAATCGCTTAAGCCCAAGAATATGAGGTTGCTGTGAGCCCTGACGTCATGGCACTCACAGCACTCTAACCAAGCAACAAAGTGACACTCTGTTTCAAATAAATAAATAAATAAATAAAAATAAAATTTCCATTAAAAATATGATACTTGGGCTCAGTGCCTGTGGCTCAAGTGGCTAAGGTGCCAGCCACATACACCTAAGGGGGCAGGTTCGAATCCAGCCCAGGCCTGCCAAAACAACAATGACGGTTGCAACCAAAACATAGCCGGGCGTTGTGGTGGGCGCCTGGGTGGTCCCAGCTACCTGGGAGGCTGAGGCAGGAGACTCACTTGAGCCCAGATTGAGTTCAAGGTTGCTGTGAGCTGTGATGCCAGGGGGATAGCTTGAGGCTCTGTCTCAAAAAAAAAAAAAAATATGATACTTGTTCAACTACACTTGATGGTTCATTTTAGATAATTTTAAAGTATCTATATTTTTAAATTTATATGTAGAATACAAAATACTCTTATAGAGTACAGTAGGACCTCCATAGCTGACCACCTCCATACATTGACCATCTCCGTAAGTTGACCTGATTTTCATAGACTGGCTGGAGATTTCCTTATGTTGACCACCTCCAAATGTTGACCAGTTTGTTACAATCCCTTGGGTGGCCACCTATCAGGGTTCTACTGTATCTTGTATGAACAGATCTGGGTGGCCTGATCTACAGATGTCACTTGGGGCATTATTTTATTAATCTAAAAATAATTATGTTAATAGTACCTGGTTTATAGATTTGCTTAAATTATCTGTGAGATTGCCACTCATAAAGTACCTTAACCTCTTTGTTCTTCAAGTTCTTTATCTTTTTCATTTTTTATTGTTGGGTATTCATTGAGGGTATAAAGAACCAGGTCACACTGCTTGCCTTTGTTAGGTAAGGTCCCTCTTATAATTGTGTCTCCTCTCCAAGAGGTGTGTCACACACCATGACCCACAACCCCCCAAATTCTTTGTCTTTGAAGTGGAGATAATAGTACCTTTGTCAAAGATTTGTTTTGAAAATTAAAATTAACATATATAAAGGAATTAGAATAGTGCCTGGCCCATAGCAAACTTTATATAAATGTTTATTGTCATGTATATCTTGAAAAACATTCTTATTGTAATGCTCACAAGAACCTCCCCCCAGATAGGTTGTAACTCTAAGCTATAATTGAGCTCAGAGAGGTTAAATAATTTGCCAAAGGTCACAGACCTAATGAGTGGCAAAGGGGGGGTCCAAATTCAGGCCCGGACCTGAGCTACAGCCCCGTGGGCCTATGCTTTCCTGGTGGTGGGCGGTGTCAGTCATCAAAATGTCAGTTGCCTAACTTGAGAAGATACTGCTTTGTGGCTTACCATTATATAAATGTATCTGCTGTTTCATGGTGCTTATGTGAAGATTCATGTATTTCAAAACATTATTTTCTATTTCAGTATATGATCTTCCCCAGCGGCCCAATGATGTTCAGCTTTTTTATGGAAACATGTGTAAAATTGTTCTTTCAGTAATTGGAGAATTCAGAGATTCCATTTCTAGTAGAGAATTTCTCCAGTCTTCTTCCAGAGCTAGTTTGGATTCTAAAAGGTAAATTGAATGAACAGAATTCTTTGACCAGAACTCAAGATTTATTTGATTCATATTAGAGCTGATGTTTTCTCCGTAGACTTTATTACTGTTTTGCCTCAAAATGTTTATTAAGTTTTATTTTTTAGTTTAAGTTGAAATAATTTCAAACTTTCAGGAAAAGTTTAAAAAAAATGTCCCCGGCATTCAGATTCCCTGTTGTTAACATTCACTACACGTTATGTGACCATTCATTACTTAAGAGCAAGTTGCAGACAGTGATAACCAGTTAGCCCCAGATTTCCTGGAAACACTCTCCTACATAGCCATGGAGAACCCAAGGAAAACCTGTCAAAATTAGGACATTCAGCATGAGTGCCCCACGAGTATTTAGTCCACAGATTCCATTCATATTCCACCAGTTCTTTCACTAATGTCCTTTATAGTTAAACCACAAAACAAAAAAATTCCTTTTTTCCCTTTCTTCCTGGCCCAGAATCTAATCTAAGATTACATTTAGAGAGCCTGTGTGTGTACTGTTTTTCAGAATAGAGCAGTTCTTCAGCCTTTCCATATGACTAAGATAATAGAAGGTTGGATTAACAAGTCAGATCCACAGGCTCAAAGATAGTATTTAGAATTAAGCTTTTTGGCTCGGCACCTGTGGCTCAAGTGGCTAAGGCGCCAGCCACATACACCTAAGGTGGCGGGTTTGAATCCCCAGCCCGGGCCCGCCAAACAGCAATGATGGCTGCAACCAAAAAATAGCCGGGCGTTGTGGCAGGCGCCTGTGGTCCCAGCTACTTGGGAGGCTGAGGCAGGAGACTCGCTTGAGCCCAGGAGTTGGAGGTTGCTATGAGCTGTGATGCCACAACACTCTACCCAGGGGGACAGCTTAAGGCTCCGTCTCAAAAAAAAAAAAAGAATAAGAAAAAAGAATTAAGCTTTCCTAATAATTTGAAGTGAAGCCTGAAAGAGTCCAGGACTCCCAACAGCATTTCCTAGGTCCCTTTTGCAACATTAATTATTGCATCTGACTCAGTTTAACATACATCCTCTATAAAAGGGGGCATTATTTTGAACATGAAAGTTCTATTTTTTACTTTGATAATTATATAATGTGATATTTTTCAAAGATTTGTACCCCATGAGATCATAAATTTCAGGTTTCTTTACCACAAATAATTCTAGACAGAAGCATTCCATGAGAGATGGAGCCTAAGAGTTTGAGGTTGCTGTGAGCTGTGACACACGGCACTCTATTGAGGGTGATGTAGTGAGACTCTGTCTCAAAAGGAAAAAAAAAAGATTGCAATTACATATATTAAAATTAGGTTGAAAATTGCTTAAACTGTGAGAAATGAGTTCTTAGTAAACAAAAAAGCCAAGAATTAACTTTAAAAAAAAATAATGACTTTTGTTTGGTAGCCCTGGGGCTGTGGGATTTTGATTAGGAAAGGAAGGGGGAGACTGGTGCTGTGGCTCATGCCTGTAATCCTCAAACTCTGGGAGGCTGAGGCAGGAGGATCCCTGCAGCTCAGGAGTCTGAGACCAGCCTAAGAAACCCAATTAAAAGATTAGGAAGGCGTTGGGGGAGATGGGGCGCCTGTAAGTCCCAGTTACTCAGGTAACTGAGGTGAGAGGATTTCTAGATCCTTTTATCCTTGAGCCTAGGAGTTTGAGGTTGCTGTGAGCTATGATGCTAAGGCACTCTACCCAGGGCAATAGAGTGAGACTCTGTTGCAAAAAAAAAAAAAAAAAAAGGAGGGAGGGAGGAAAGGTGAGAGGTCAGAAGGGGATCTCTGCCCAGTGTTGACTTGAAATCGAGGGAGTTTCAGCTCTACCATGTGTTAGGAGAGTCCAGGCACTACACGATGAAACTTCAGTTATGTCATATGCTTTGAAGATTAAAAAATTCAGTGAATTGTAATTTTTTATAATCTAAAGTTCACTTTGTTTTAACACTTAATAAAAATCTTCTTAAACCGTATTAGTACTTCTTACTATAGTATTTTACCCAGAAGACCGTCCTGTTTTAATGGCTTTATTTTGTGTCAGCATTGTGAAACTAATTATGCAGTGTTAAATACAGTTAAGTATTTTGTTTTTCTTAAATTCCTAATATTGGGTCATTTTCTTTTTTTAATTTTTTTTTTTTTTGAGAGAGTCTCACTTTGTCACCCTGGGTAGAGTGTCATGGCGTCATAGCTCACAGCAACATCAAGCTCTTGGGCTCAAGCGATTCTCTTGCCTCAGTCTCCCAAGTAGCTGGGACTACAGGTGTCCACCACACTGCCTGGCCACACTACCACACTCCCTCTGGCTCAAGCTGGTCTCAGTTTATCTGCCCACTTCAGTCTCCCAGAGTTTCTGAGATTACAAGGTTAACCCACTGAGACCTGCCTCTTTGGTCATTTTCTTATAAGTTTTTTAAGAACCTTCAGATGGCATGCTGAAGTCAAGGCAGAAGAAAATTTAAATTGCCCAATACTCTAAAGTTTTTTGTACTATTTGCCCTGTACTGTATTTTTTATGCACACTTTTAAGTACAAACATTATGAAGGAATTTCATTCACTGAAATACACATAGTACGTAATGCATTTCTTAGTTTTGTCTTAAGTGTTTTTAGATCTATGAAGAATTAATAGCAAAATGTGACATCATCTGAACCTTTTTCTTCTCTTTTTTTTTCCTTTGGAGACACATAGTCTCACTTTGTCTCCCTCGGTTAGAGTACCCTGGTATTACAGCTCACAGCAACCTCAAACTCTTGGGCTCAAGTGATTCTTTTGCCTCAGCCTCCCAAGTGGCTAGGATTATAGACACCCACCACAACACCTGGCTAGTTTTAGAGACAGGGTCTTGCTCTTGCTCAGGCTGGTCTTGAACTCCTGAGCTTAGGCAATCCACCAGCCTCAGCCTCCCAGAGTACTAGTATTATACAGGTATGAGCCACCAAGCCCAGCTCATTATTTGAACTTTTTAACTTCTTTTTTCTTGCTTTCTCTTACTTTTCTGAATTTGAATAATTTTTGTAGTGACTCAGAAACCTCTGGAAAACACAGTGGCAATGTCTCTTTGGATGTTTTACCAGTTAGAGGTCCTCAAGGTTCTCATCCATCACAAGCTGCTCACCCACCTCAGGATGCATCTGCCTCTGAGGAGATGTGGATGGTCCATCCTGAGCACCTGGTCCTGGTAGCCCCTTCTCCTTGTGAGTATGTTGACAGTCATGCCAAAGACCACATCTTGGGATCCGGCGCTGCCTCCATGCCTGTGGCTTATGTGGGGAGTCCCATATATGCATGCCTCACCCAGGTTCTGCCCTGCCCCTGGAGCCTGTCCTTGTCCCAAGGCTGTCCTGCTCTGCTAAGACCTCAGCTCAGTGACAGAGCCACAGACCTGCTGGAGAGCTCACTTGGCACTCACTCCTGCTGCCCTTTATCCTGGGAGAGCTGGTTCAGAGTAGAAGGGGATCTGATGTGTGTGCACATGCCAGACTGAGTGCCAGGCGGTTGGGAGAGCTGGTTCAGAGTAGGAGGGGATCTGATGTGTGTGCACATGCCAGAGTGAGTGCCCTGTGGTGACAGTTTTCAGACCCCGCTTTCCCCTAACTTCACTCAGTGTTGCCAGTGTCTTCATTGTCTCCTATAGCGAACAGTTGGGCTCACTTATCAGGGATTTGAAATTCCTCTAATTGAGCAGGTGGGAAAGCAAAGTAAATCATATCATTTGTTAATGTTTGCCTTTTCAGTGTTGCTAAGTGTAAATTTTATTTGTCTGATACAACAGGTGACATGGCAAAAACGACATGTTTCCAGATTGTAAATAATTGTGCCAGGCTGCTGAGATTCGAGCTGTGCTGGCCAGCACATTGTCTCACAGTCACACCACAGCATGGCTTTGTCTCGCCAGAGTGAGTACGACTTCTCTGCTCTTCAGAGTACAGTCCGGATGCTGTTAGGGTGACTTTTTATGGGTCAAATAATGTTTCATTTTAACTTACTGAGTAAAACTTTGCACTGTGCAGATGGTACAGAGTATTTGTTTGGTATTTGCTTGTGGGGTAACGGCACACCATTTAGGAGCCGAGGTCACACACAGCCAGCAATTGTTAACCTGAGGTGGCAGAGGCAGAACTGACTCCCTGGAAGAGGACAGAATGCTTTAGTGTCATGGTCTGCCCACAAATTACAAAAAGGAGCAAAACTGGGCCTGTGATGGAGACAGGGACCACTATGTATGTAAAGCCCAAACAGAACAGTTCTTTTTTTTTTTTTTTTGAGACAGAGCCTCAAGCTGTCACCCTGGGTAGAGTGCCGTGGCATCACAGCTCACAGCAACCTCAACTCCTGAGCTCAAGGGAGTCTCTTGCCTCAGCCTCCCAAGTACCTGGGACCACAGGTGCCTGCCACAACGCCTGGCTATTTCTTGGTTGCAGCCATCATTGTTGTTTTGGCAGGACCGGGCTGGATTCAAACCCGCCACCTTAGGTGTATGTGGCTGTCGCCTTAGCCACTTGAGCCACAGGCACCAAGCCAAGGGGGTCAGCATCTTTGCAGAAGGCCGACATGAAATTTGTTTGCTTTTGCAAAATGACATGTGTTCATTTTAGGGGCGTTTCCTTGACTAAGACTGTAACTAATGTATTGTTAGGGACACTCCAGAGCCCTCAGTTAAAACCTCCTAAGTGTTCCTATGCTTCTCAGCTAATGAGTGAGAAGACAGAGAGATGCAGCAGATTTGCATAAGTCATCTTCTCTGTAGCCCATGTGGTTTTTTTTTTTTTTTTAAGACAGTCTCACTATGTCACCCTCAGTAGAGTGCTGTGTCATTGGAGCTCACAGCAACCTCAAACTCTTGGGCTTAAGTGATTCTCTTGCTTCAGCCTCCCAAGTAACTGGGATTACAGGTTCTTGCCACAACACCTGGCTGTTTTTTGGTTGCAATTGTCATTGTTGTTTAGCAGGCGCTTGTAATGCCTAGCCATAATGCCCAGGCTAGGCTTGAACCCAGCAGCTTTGGTGTATGTGTCTAGCACCCTACTCACTGAGCCACGGGCGCCAAGCCAGCCCTCGTGTTCTTTGTAGTGGTGAATCATTTTGCCCTTCCATTTTTGTAGCTGGTGATTTAAGCCACAAATCTGATCACATCATCCACTTTAAATTCTTGAAGAGAACACTGAGCATAGGAAATAGCAACTGGGTTATAAGGAAACAAAGTGTTTTCTTTTTTTTTAGAGACAGAGTCTCAAGCTGTCACCCTGTATAGAGTGCGGTGGCATCACAGCTCACAGCAACCTCTAGCTCTTGGGCTTAGGTGATTCTCTTGCCTCAGCCTCCCGAGTAGCTGGGACTACAGCCACCCGCCATAACACCAGGCTATTTTTTTGTTGCAGTTTGGCTGGAGCTGTGTTTGAATCTGCCACCCTCAATATATGGGGCCAGCACCCTATCCTCTGAGGCACAGGCACCATCCAAAACAAAGTGTTTTCTTCATTTCTTTCCCACCTACCTTTCTTCCAGCTTCCTCCCCAGCTGCTACATTCTCTGTGACTGTTTTATTACCGAGTGGATCAAGTTTTCTTCTGAATTGCCTTTAAAATGGTATTTCTGTGACATGGTTTGTTTTCACATGAGTTTTGCCAGTGGGGCATGAGTTGGTGTCATTTGGCTTTTCTTAGCCACTGAGTCGAGAACTGAAGGCCACATGAGCTTCTGGGGGCCAGGGGCTTTCTCTGCTTTTCCAAACTGTAAAGGCATAGTAGGTCCCTGACTGACAGTATTTATGACTCTTGTGATTACTGCTGTTAAAGTACAGAATATTTTTGATTTTCATTATTTTTTTTTAAGGAGTAAACTACAAATTCTTGTGAGTCCTAACAACTCCTTATCCACAAAACAGTCGATGTTCCCATGGAGTGGGCTGATATATGTACACTGTGACAATGGACAGAAGGTACTTTTGAAAGTGGGTTTTCTTTGAGCAACATTTCTCTTACTATGTAGCTTCAGTTCTGTAATCCTCATTAACGCTTACATTTCAGAAGTCAAATGAAGGTACACTTGACCTTCTGTATCTAGGGTTCCACATCAGCAGGTTAAGCCAACTACAGATTGAAAACAATAAAAAATAATACAAATAAAAATACAATATAACAACTGTCCATGTAGCATTTACTTTGTGTTAGGTAGTGTAAGTAATCTAGAGATGAGGTAAAGCCCAGGGGGAAGTGTGTGGTTTATATGCAAATGCTGTGACGTTTTGAGCAAGGGACTTGAGCAACCATGGATTCTAGTGTCCTTTGGGGTCCTGGAGCCAGTCCTCCCTGGATACCAGGCTACTTGTTCTTTGAGCCCAACTAAGTTTATTTCATTAGAAATAAATAATCTTTAATTATTTATTAAATAAGTATTGCACCAGACTGAGTTTTAGTCATCAGAATGACTCTTGAGGGTGGGCGTGGGGCCATTGCTGATTTGCAGAGTTTACTTAACTCTTAGGCTTAGAGCCAAACATGTAACATGTTCAACATCTAATAAACCTTAATTTTTGAATTTCTCAATATTTTGTTTAGTTGGCATTTTTTTTTTTTAAATTAAATCATAGCTGTGTACATTAATACTATCATGGGGTACAGTGTGTTGTTTCTATATACAATTTGAAATACTTTCATCCAACTGGTTAACACAGCCTTCATGTCATTTTCTTAGTTGTTGTGTTAAGACATTTATAGTCTACATTTAGAAAGATTCACATGTACCCTTATAGGATGAACCATAGGCGTGATCCCATCAATCACCCTCCCTCCACCCTCCCCTTCTCCTCCCTCTCCCCTTTCCCCTTATTTTTGGGCTAAAATTCATAGTAGGGCTGAGTACATTGGATACTTTTTCTTCCATTCTTGAGATACTTTGCTAAGAAGAATGTTTTCCAGCTCCATCCATGTAAACATGAAGGACATAAAGTCTCCATCTTTCTTTATGGCTGCACAGTATTCCATGGTGTACATATACCACATTTATTGATCCATTCGTGGGTCGATGGGCATGCTTGGCATTTCTTTTCTCTAATTTAAAAATAGGAATTGTTTCTTTTTGAATTACAGCCTTATTTGTGTCTTTTTCCCTTATTTGGTTCATTCCAGAAAATTGTGAAAGTTCAAATTCGAGAAGATATGACTCAAGAAGAACTTTTAACTCGTTTGGCCTCTAAACCTTTCGGAATTCTTCCCCCAGTATCTGAGCCTTCAGTTAGTCTTTTGGTAAAACCAATGACAAAACCACCTTCCACGAAAGTTGAAATAAGAAACAAGACTATTACTTTTCCTATGACAGAACCTGGTAAAACTTCAGGTACTGTATCACAAACATGTCATTCAGATGTCTGAGTATAATGCTATGTTCTTAGCTGACCACAACGTGGTGGTCAGTACAGATTTTCCTCCCTGCTAAAGGAGAAGATCGAGTTCATTCACTTCAATGCTGAGCTGGATTTGGAACTCAGTCTTTTTTTTTTTTTTTAAGAGATGGAGTCTCACATTATCGCCCTTGGTAGAGTACCATCAACCTCCAGCTCCTGGGCATAGGCTATTGTCGTGCCTCAGCCTCCCAAGTAGCTGGGTCTACAGACGCCTGCCATGACACCTGGCTATTTTTTGTTGTAGTTTGCCCGGGACTGTGTTCTAACCCTCCACCCTTGTATATGGGGCTGGCACCCAACCCACTGAGCCACAGGCGCCATCCTGGAACTCAGTCTTACAATGTTAAACCTGGGTGTTTAGTAACTGTGTGTTACAGGAGCCTTTAATCTTACTTGGTCCGAGATGCACCTTCCCAACCTCCACAGATGTTACTTGAAATAAGAATCAAGGCTATAGTTGTTAGTACAGTAAACTCTTTTTTTTTTTTTTT